AACCTACAGTAGACACACACACACACACAAATCCAAACATGATACTAAACATAATCAGCAAATCAAAAGAAGAGAGAACCAAATAGGGAGGGAAGGAAAAAGATCTACCAGAACAAACCAAAACAATTAACAAGATGGCAATAACATATATATCAATAATTACCTTAACTATAAAAGCATTAAATGCTCCAACAAAGACACAGACTTGCTGAATGGGTACAAAAATAAGGCCCACATATATGCTGTTTACAGAAGACCCACATCAGATATAGGCACACATAAAGACTGAAACTGAGGGGATGGAAAAAGGTGTTTCATGCAAATGGAGATCAGAAGAAAGCTGGAGTAGCAATACTCATATCCAACAAAATAACTTTAAAATAAAGACTGTTACAAGAGACAAAGGAGGACACTGCATAATGATCAAGAGATCAATCTAAGAAGAAAATATAACAATTGTAAATATATATCCACCCAACATAGGAGTACCTCAATATATGAGGGAAATGCTAATAGCTGTAAAAGGAGACATCTATATTTTATTATACTGATAATATTATCTTAAAAGCTAAAGGGTTTTTTCCTCTTTTGCTATTTACTATTTCTTAGGCATGATGTCTCGTTTTCTTATTGTTTGCTGAGCTGTTTGTATTTGGCTATATGCTTGTCACTATACTTGAAAAATAACCTTTTAGGTGTAATTTGAATTTTGAATAAGTGAATTACTTCTAGATTTGCCATAGATTCTGCCAGGTACTTTGGAACACAATCCATGAGTACAATAACAGAAACTCAAGGCTTGAGAGTCCATTAAAACATCCAGGTAATTGCAAACTTTCAAGAAATTATTTGCAATTACTAACTCAATACCTCTTTTTTGTTCATTTGAGCATGTAGACTTTGAAGTTCACAGCTTATTGTGGGGAGGGTTTGACTAGACCTGTCTGTCTAGTGTAGACCTCATGATCTTTGATTTCTACACCATCATTTTAGGTGCTCTTCAAACAGAAGCTCAAATTCTGTGGATTTAGCAAATTCTCTCAGAGAAATAGTGTTACCTGTCTTGATTCCCATTATTCCTTCTGTTTTAACCTAATAATAACTCTTGCATTGTGAATTCTTCAAGTCTTTCAAGGTTTCCATACATTTTAAACAAGATTGTTTGGGGTTGGTTTTGGTGGGAAGATTGGCATGAAGTCACTGTTAATGAAATCCCCTGAACATCTCTCCACCCAGATCATTAGGAGCATATTTTACTTCCCTTTTTGCACAAGGACACTCTGTTCTTCACACTTCCCCATAGTTTAGAGTAACATTTTAAAGACAAAATAAATAGAAAGCTTACATAACAATATGTTAAAATTACCCAAAGACACTAAGTAAAGTAGTTGTACTATTTTTGCTTGTTTTCCTGTTTTCTGCCTATATCTTTTTGAGATGCATAAGGAAATTTCATGAGGTTGTAATCATTTTCAATGTAATAGGGAAGGAATTAAGTTCTTTGCAGCTTTGAGAATAAGCGCCAAGCTGTGTATATTTGCATATGGGGAGAAGATCCTTAACTTTCATATGATTTTTCAAGTGGTCTTATCACAATCCATAAAGAAGGTTGAGAACTGTATTGGTTTTCAATTCTGACATTTTTGCAAACATTTACTGTATTGTAGGGCTTTCTGTGCCAACACAGAACCTTCCAAGTATTTCACATGTGTCTGCCACCCCCCTGTGTCACTCTGCAGAACTCTCCCGTCCTTTCCTCTCAATGGTGACTGTCCCCTTCTTCATGTCTCACAGGTAGCACAGCACCGAGGTACCTCCTTCTTAGGAGCTAGCCCCCGTGGAGCAAAGATGGGTTTAGGTTGAGTCGTCTATCATGGATGGATAGGATCTGAGATGCTTTTCCACAGGGTCTGAGGGCTGTGAACAAAATCAAGTCACAGGGCTTTTTCTGCAGGCAGGGAAACATCTGGGACACAAAACATTCACCTCAGGAGGAGGCAGAAGAATAGAAGCCGTCCCCAGTGTCGTGATTCACTGAGAGCTTGTTGGGGGCTCAAGTGACCTGAGAGAGAGATGGTCAGTGGCAGAGCCTGACTCTTCCTTTTCTTTCTCTGGCCGTGCCCTCCACCTTCCCACCCCCATCCCCCTGCCCAGGAGCAGAGCTACTCAGGGCGCTTGAGAGCTTCTAGAAAGAAGTGGGAGCAGCAAGGGTCTGGGTGGGGCTCAGGACCAGGGGGTGAAGACACGCAGGTTCCATTCCCCGAGGGAGAAGGAGGAAGTAGACAGGTCCCAGCCTTGGTGCCTGTGAGGACATCATTGAATGTGGTGGGTTTGGGGTTCTGGGGCACAGTGCCCAGCACCCCCCCGACCCAGTGCCCTGGGCTCCCATTTCTGTGGCCGGCACTGACTCAGCAGCTGTGCGGGCTATTGCACTGAAGGCTTCGGTTACTGCCTTCCCCCAGGTCCTTGGCAGTTGGTGGGCAAGCCTCTTGGGCAGCTCTGGGTGATGAAACTTATCACAGCAGCAGGAGAATGGGACTGTGAATTCTTGGACCCCCACGCCCCACCCTCACCTTTCCTTCCTCTCCCAGGGGCTCAAAGTCAGGCAGGAGGAAGTAGGGGCAGCAACTGACTGGGCAGCCTCGCCGGGAAGATGCAGCCGCTCCTGCTCCTGGTGGCCTTTCTCCTGGCCCCCAGGGTTCAGGCAGGTGAGTGACTGTTCCCACCCTCAGGGGCCCAACTCCATCCCATAGACTCTGAAGCCAGACCACCCAGGCACTTGCTAGCCCTGTATCACTGGGCAGCTTGCATGAGTCCACAGTTTCTCAGCTTCAGATTCTGAGGGCAGAAATTATATCAAGCCTACCTGGAGAGTCGCTATGAGAGTTAACTGACAGAGTGTACATAGAGCTCTCAGAACCACCCTGGCACATACTACCTGCTGTATAAATGTGCTCTCTGAACTGAGTTTGCAGCCCCTGTGTCAGAGCCTAGGAGATCAAGATACAGAGATAGTGGGCCCATCGGCCCATCTCTAGATCCTTAAATTCATGAGCTGGACTCACAGGCATCTGGAAAATTCTCTGAGGAAGAAAGTGCCACAGAACTTCAGGGACAGGCCCCTCCAGAGAGCTCTGGGTTTGCCATCCCCACAGCAGAGAAACCCTCCTGTGAGGGAGCCTGCAGCTGGCCCCGCCTTCTGGGCAGGTGGGAGGGCGCTGAGGCTGGATGGAGAGCCAGCAGCACTTCCTGCAGGGTCCTGGAGCCTCCCCCAATTCTTCACCCTGCAGACCCCATTCTCACCAACCACCAGCTCACCCTGCCCCTGCAGTATCTCTCCTGCTCCCTAAATTCCAGTCTTTCTGGAGCCACCAAGCTGATGTTCACACACCTGCCAGTGCAGAGATAATCCTGGTGCTTCCTTCCAGGGCAGATCATCGGAGGCCGAGAGGCCAGGCCCCATTCCCACCCCTACATGGCATATATTCAGACCCTGACACCAGCGGGTCTGACCATTTGTGGGGGGTTCCTGGTGCAAGAAGACTTTGTGATGACGGCAGCTCGCTGCTTGGGCAGGTGAGAAATTAAAGAGTTTCTAGGCACCTGCAAAGCAGGTCAAGAAGTAATCATGAGAGCAGCCATTGAAGGCAGGTTTCTAGCAATGAACAGGTGAAAAAAGCCAGGAGAAGGCCTGTGTGAATGGAGAGAAAGGAGAATCTGAGAGAGAATAAGAGGGGGAGATGGAAGGTACACCATGGGGCTCAAATTGTGAATTCAAGCTCTTTCTCAATTTCTTGTAGGGGAGGCAAAATTTAAGGTCACTGAATTTCCCACCACCCCCATCTCAAGGCTGGGGAGACCTAAGGCACGGAGTTCAGCCCCAGAGCCCTCCTGTCTCCTGGTTCCCTTGGCTGAGGTCTCGCTACCCTGGGCAGTCACTTGACCTGTACTGGGGACCGCGGTTCCTGCAGCTCAAACCTACTCTAGACTTCCTCTCCTTTGCAGCCAAATAAATGTCATCTTGGGGATCCACAGTGTCACTGCTTCTGAATGGACACAGCAGCGCATCCCTGTTCTCAGACCCATCCCCCACCCCAGATACAATCAGCGGAACAACCGGAATGACATCATGTTACTGCAGGTAACGACCCTCTGGTTCTTCAACTGGGTGACCTTCTCCCAGCGTGGGGGGCTTCATGTGTCCTGGGACCATGGAGGGGAAATCAGGGCTGACTCCCAGGGTGGTGGTGGGCATGGGGTGAGCATACAGTCCCTGAGTGCCTGCACACTTCCTGCCAGCTGGCATACAGAGTCAGACAGAATGAAGCTGTGAGGTTGGTAGCTCTGCCTCAGACAGAAGAAATGCTGGACCCTGGGACCCAGTGCACTGTGGCCGGCTGGGGCCTCACCGGACTGAACAGGAGAGCAGTCACACTCCAGGAGGTGCAGCTGACAATTCAGAGGGATGGAGAGTGTCACAGTCGCTTCGATTTCTACACTGGCCAAAAGCAGATCTGTGTGGGGGACCCAAGAGAGGGGAAGTCCACCTTCCTGGTAAGACAATGTAGGGTCTGCTGACAGTGCCCGAGACAGGGGGCCCTGAGCAGAATGGGCAGGTGTCAGGGTCCATCTCCGTGGCTGCAGCCTGGGGTCCACACCAAAGTGACATGGGGTGGGGAGCGGGGCTTTTCCCCATCCATCTGGTCTCTGGGGGAACTGGAGAAGTACCAAACATGCATGATGTTCATGTGCAGTGTTTTCCTGGGGCCAGTGAAGGCGCCTTGACCTGGGTTGGGCTGGAGAGGCAACCACAGTCAGGGCTGAAGCCCGGTGATGGGAAAATTCAGGAGCTTTTCTTCTGCACGCCACCACCCTCCCATCACACACACACCAGCACTGCAAGGAGCTCTCCTCAACCCCCATCCTCTCTCAGGGTTGGGAGGGGGCAACAAGTGGGGAGGCCTGGACAACTGAGGGTCCCTTCCCTCCTCTACCTGTAGGGGGACTCCGGGGGCCCCCTCGTGTGTAACAATGTGGCCCAGGGCATTGTCTCCTATGGAGACAGGATGGGGACCCCTCCAGCAGTCTTCACCAGAATTTCCAGTTTCCTGCCCTGGATAAGGAGAACAATGAGACGCTTCAAAGAGTGGAGACCAGAGTGACATCCCACGAGACTTAGTCTCCTTCTCTGGGGCAGAGCCCAGCTCCAGAGCATATCCCAAAGCCTTAATAAACATCCTTGTCTAGAGGGGAAATAACTGATTTCTAATGTGTTCATTAAACATTTTTTGTGCACAACAAAGTGTGCCTGGAATGAGGGTGAGCTTCATCAGGAAGATGGGGCCTCTTTCCCAGGACTAGTGAATCCCGATTCCTACCATCCTGGGGTCAGCATGAGCTTCTTCCCTGCTCCCAGCCACCCATTCCTCTGTGTCCCCTCTACCCACAGCCTGAGGAGGGATGGAGGGACCTACCTCTCCCCAGAGTAAGGCTTTTTATTCTCTACCCACTAGAGTATTAAAGAGACTGCACACTAGGTATTAAAGTGTACCCCCAAACCACATACCATTGGTGTGAGAAGGATGAGTTGTACAGACAGGGCAAACCAAAGGGACAACTGAAATTCTAAACGAGGATATGGTGAACAGTTGTCAAACCACTGGGAAACAATAAACTTTTAATCAGTGTCATTGAAACAAAACAGAATCACTGGGGAAAAACATACAGTTGGGTCCATACTTCTTATCATAATCCAAGATAACACTCAAATGGGATCAAAGAACTAAATGTTAAAAATCAAGCCATGCAAGTACTAGAAGAAAGAAAAAAGAAGATTTACTCTCTTAAAAATATCTAACAAACACCCATATCAAATTTGCCCTTTTCACAATGGCCAAGAGATGGGAGCAACCCAAGTGTCTATGGACAGCCAGAGTCTTTCTCCAAAGTCCTTTCCCATACCATCCCTCACTGTGCTGTAGACCATTGTTCTCGTTTTCACTGTGATGAGAATCTCCTTCTGGGTTTGTTACTCTAAAATTAAACAAACCTCCACACAATATGTTGACTAAAATAAAATGCCTTTTATCCTTTTACCCATGACTAATACATCAATATTATATTGACATACAGGATTTCTGAAGTAACATAATTAAACCCAAGCTTTTAACACCTTAAGGTAACTGTAGAGAATCAGCTAGGATGCTCTACATCCTTCAGAATGTTAACTACTCCTTGCAGTGTTACATTTCTCACCTGAATTCTTGTAGTTTCCATAATGTGACATGAAACGATCCATAACCACATATCAAATCCAACTCGCTCTACACAGATATGCTTTGGCAAATTTGTCTGTTATGTTTATGGGTACTACCTGTCAAAAAGTCATTTGCCTAAAGTTCAGTGTACATCATTTTCCACAAAATTTTAACAATACATCTTTGACAACATTCAGTCATTTCCTCTAAATTTGATACCACGTACCCATAGGAATTATCCCTTACTTATATATTCTTAGGGATAACAGTCTCATTATTAAATGTCTGCATTGCCAGATGGAAAGAATACTTGATGGTGGCGGCAGGGGGAGAGGAGAGAGCAGTGGAAGAGATCCCGTGAAGCCCTTCCTCTGTGTGACATTTACTTTGAGCCCCAGAGCTGAAGCTCCAATACTAGGCCATCTGATGCAAGAGTTGACTCTTTGGAAAAGACCCTGATGCTGGGAAAGATCAAAGGCTGGAGGAGAAGGGAATAAAAGAGGATGAGATGATTGGATGGCATCACTGACTCAATGGACATGATTTTGAGCAAGCTTCAGTAGGTGGTGAAGGACCGGGGAGCCTGGCGTTCTACAGTCCATGGGGTCACAAAGAGTTGGACATGACTGAGCGACAAAACAACCACCACCAGAGCGCTGCCCAGGTCAGGAATGCCCAGGAAACTCCCAGGACAGACCCATCTCTCCTCCAAGCCTCTCCCTGCCAGTCAGCTCTCCAAGGCAGCTGTCTGCCGCCAGCCACCCTGCTGGAAAGATTTCTACAGCCCTCACCATGTCCACGTCCAGAGGACAATTCCCTTCATGACCGTTCAGAAGCCAGTTCCACCATTTCTCACAGCTCAGCACACTTCCTTATTAATAAACCTCAGCAGCAGAGCTTCGGCAAGAAAACATTTTGCACACCAAACACTAGTGCAAAAGAACACAGTTCCTCTCACTGTCTTACTCTGCTTTCAACCTCTGTGCTTTGGAAGATCCCCTGACTCATCTGGAAAGTTACAAAACCATGACAAGCTCTAGGATGGAAACCCCACCAGGAACTTCAGTCCTGACCTGATCGCTCAGGCAGACTTCCGGTCCACAGGAACCTGGTGCCTGTGCCCCGGAGCAGAGCATCAGAGTCAGGAGAAGCTAGACACTGGTGATGCATCAGAACTAGCAGCATCACAGAAGTGAGGGCTGGTAACCATGATCGTGGTTGTCTGAGTTTGTCTGGGAAAAGTGGGGACCCCAGGAGAAAGCCGCCTTCCTCCAACTCATCCACCAACCTGAGCTGGAGACAAGAGGGCAGCCCAGGACCAATAGCTCAAAGAAAATGCCTTTCTTGTGGAAACATTAAAAAAAGAAAAAGGTAAAACTCTCAGTACACAAAATTTTGTCAGTACACAAAATCTGCCTAATACATCATGAATCATTTCAAGATTTTAGGTGGCATGACACCTAGAAAAACTACAAGCTCCACTAGACTGATACCCTATCAAGACCACTTTATCACCAGCAACCCACTCCTGGGCACATATACAGATAAAACTCTATTCCAAAAAAATACATGCAACCTTTGTTCATAGCAGCACTATTCACAATAGCCAAGACATGGAAGCAACCTAAATGTCCATTAATAGATGAATGGATAGAGAAGATGTGGTACACGTATACAGTGGAGTACCACTCAGCCATAAAAAACAATGAAAGAGTGTCACTGAAACAACATAAATGCAACTGGAGATCATCATACTAACTGAAGTCAGAAAGGAAAAGACAAATACCATATGAAATCACTTATATGTGGAATCTAAAATACGCCACCAATGAACCTATATTCAGAATAGAAACAGACTCACGGACATAGAAGAGACATATGGTTGCCCCTGGGGAGGGGGTTAGGGGAAGGTTGGAGTTCGCAGATGTAAGCTATTATGCATAGAATGGATAAACAATAAGGTCCTGCTGTGTAGTGCAGATACCTATATTCATAGTTAATCATAATGGAAAAGAATTTTTTTTAAAAGAATTATATATGTATATGTGTCACTGAATCATTTTGCTGTATGAAAGAAACTAACACAACATTGTAAATCAACTATACTTCAATTTTTAAAAAAGATTGCTTTTTCAAATTTCCACTGAATTTCCAGAAGTATAATTTTCACAGGCTACATTATGACTGTTATTGTTGTACAAAAAATTACTAAACCATTTTCACATCCAGAAATTTAACAGGCCTCTCTCCAAACACTTCCCCCCAGTACCCCACACTTGGTTTGCCCTGGCCCAAGAGAAGCAGATGGTTCCATTTATTAACATCCGTTCTGCATGCTCTGGGGCTTTCCTGAGTTACGAGGTCTAGTTTGGTACTAGGGGTTCCCAGAAAGACAAGACTCTTTTGTGCTCCTAACCTTCTGTCCCAGCAAGCCACAGTTAACATGAAGTTGTCTCATGCCAGGAACCCCCAATATCTGCTTCAGCCTTGTTTGTTGTTGTAAAAATCTATAGATACCATGTACAGTGGGGAGCGCCATCTGCCCTTTCTGCACCATTTGATCTGCCCTGAAAGAGAAAATTTCCCTGGAGTTCTGTCTTCATAGGAAATAGGACAGGAACTGCCAGGTGGCTTAAAACAATGGGATGTTCAGAGGATGATAGTCCTCAATGGTCTTTAGGGACCCAACTCAATGAGTTGGGGGCCCCAGGCTCCCCTGGGCAGCACAGCAGGCTCGAAATATGACCTGTTTCCCTGGTTAGTTCTTATCACCCCATTGAGAGGAGTGGCTCAGCCCTTGTTCTGGAGCACTTCAAATACATGTGAGGGGGTAGGGATCTGTCATCGGGATAAATCACCTGGAAGCCACTCTCTTTGACCTACTCTGGCTCTTTCTTTGTCCCTGAGCTTCTCAGACCCCCTGTGTCCTGCTTACTTCCAGATGAGGCTGGTTTCAAAAACCCAAAAGTTTTGAGCCCGTGGAACCAAATACTCTGGTTTCTTTCTCCCCCATCATGAGCCAGGCTCATAGTAAATGTCCCACAAGTGCTGTTGGATATGTGAATGAACAGTCTCCAAAATTGCTTTGGGTCCTAATGTGGTCTGAATTTCAGCACAGAGACATCTTTCTAAGCAATTTAACTTTCAAGCCAAAGAGGACATGTACAAGGATTAGAAACCAGAATGAGGCAGGGAAATGGGAGGAGGGGGCCTGGGTGGAAGCCAGCCCCCATGAGGGCCATGGGATCGGCGGTGAGGTGACACTGTGAGGCTCGCCTGGGTTCTAGATACCTGCCCTGGTGGAGCAGAGTGGCTCAGGAAAGTGGGGTCAACAAAAGGGTGACATCTAGGAAACTGTGAGATGGCTCTTTCATTCTTGTTCTAGACGATAGCTCCTTGGCAAAGCAACCCACCCTTAGCTTTGGAGAATGGGAAGTCACAACGCTCATTCTCAGCTTTCCTTCCCCACCAGGATCCTGTGCCATCCTAACTATAAATTACTTTCCACATGCCAGGGTGTGACCTATGGAAGGGAGAAGACCCACCAGATCTCCATGGGAGTAGTTTTCTGTAACCTGCACACTGTGTCCAGCGGCAGATCTGGAGTCTAGCAAATTTCTGGGAATGGACTAAGGTGAGGAACACCATAGCGATAGTGTCTCAGGGGCACTGGGGAAGTGGTGCTGCTGGAATAAGCCAGGCCTCTGAGGACAAAGGGGCTTCCCTTGTGGCTTGGCTGCTAAAGAATCTGCCTCCAATGCGGGAGACCTGGGTTCGTCCCTGGGTTGGGAAGATCCCCTTTAGAAGGGAAAGGCTACCCACTCCAGGGTAATTCTCCAGGTGGCCTGGAGATTTCCATGGACTGTATATATCATGGGGTTGCAAAGAGTCAGACACGACTGCAC